TGTCCAATCTTTGCCCAAGATTCTGTTATGGTTTTTTCCATTATTTCTGTGTGATATTTGTCTCATTACATTTAATTGTCCTTTTTACATGTAACTTTTTGTAACTGTTCTTAAAATATGTAGCAAAATTATGAGATGAACATCATTTGAAATAATGTTGCAACAAAAATTGTATTAATTAATAGTATTTCATTGCAGGTTCATATAGAGGGAGAAGGAGCAAAAGCAGATAGGGAGAATTCGTCTTTGTAAACTGAGTAAAACTTGAACCTGTCGTTACCCCTTTCTTCACCTGGCTGATTTCGTGACACTGCCCTTGCATCCCTGTCCTTGGTCCACGCCTCCGCCTCTGGACCCCACACTACAATGTGTCTCTTCTGTGTCCTCTCGCTCGTGACTGTCACTCACGTACTTAATGTATGTGCAGTCCTGGGAGACGTACCCTGGAGATACAAAGATAGGAAACCTGGCCCTTGCCCTGTGCTCCCTGTTTTCCAGAGAGGTCTGCATGCCAGTGTTTCTTACTAAATGTTACCAGAAGGAAGCTTGTTGTGTCTGCACTGTAGAACATGTTGGATCCCACACCCCTCTCCCCAGCCTTGCTGGCTGTCCTCTTGTGTCCCTCCCGTCTCTGCCTTGCAAGTGTTGGGATTCCCACATCTTTCCATCTTCAGCCCATTTCCTTATATTGTGTGGTCTCAGATTTTTGTATTGCCATCTCTGTGCTGATGACTTTAAACCTGTATCTGCAGCTTCCCCATGTGGCTCCAGCCTCAGAGGGGGTCTTCGAGCTGTGTCCCAGACACCTCCACTTAGTTTTTTCACAAGCACTTCAAACTGACCACGTCAAGACTCAGCTCATCACCCATGCGACGCTCAGCCTACTCCTACTTCTCTTTATTTCTATTGTGGCGCCTTTCTATTCAGTGAACCAAGGCTAAGTCACTTAAAGCTATTGGTTTCTCTCCCTAAAGTTTTACTCCGTCCAGCCTCTCCTCTCCACCCAGCGCTTCCTGCCAGCGCCCTGAGCTGAGCTCGTATCCTCTTGCCTGGACTGTGCACCTTCTTCACTGGCCTCTCCCTCAAGCCCAGGGTCTGTCTAAGTGTCCAGTGTGGCCGGGTCACTCCTCTCTGGCAGCATTCTGTCAGCTGCAGGTGTGTGAGACACCCCACCATGGGCCCCATCAGACCTCCCCAGCCTTTCCCTGTGCACGTGCACAGGCACACACACGCACCCATGTACGTACTCTCACACGCACTCTCTCACGTTCTTGTGCATACCCCCCACACACACACTTGTACACACCCTTATGCGTGCAAACGCACACACATGCACACACACCCTTGCAGCCTCGTACACCTCTCTTGCTGTCATACACTTTTACATACTCTTTTACATATGCACTTTTACACACACATACATACCCTCTCACTCTCACCTGCTGTCACACACACCCACAGTTGCATGCTTTCACACATACCCGCATTCGCATGCTCTCACACATAGGCAGCTCTCACGTGCGAGCACACACACACCCTCTTCACTCTCACCTGCCCTCACACACCCACACTCATGCTGTCACACATACACATACGCACACGTGCGAGCACATACACCCCCTCACTCTCACCTACCCTCATGCACACCCACACTCATGCTCTCAACACGTACACATGCACTCACACGTGTGAGCACACCCCCATTCACCTGCTTTCATGCACACCCACACTCATGCTCTCAACACGTACACATGCACTCACACGTGTGAGCACACCCCCATTCACCTGCTTTCATGCACACCCACACTCATGCTCTCAACACGTACACATGCACTCACACGTGTGAGCACACCCCCATTCACCTGCTTTCATGCACACCCACACTCATGCTCTCACACAAGCACTCACACGTGCAAGCACACACACCCCCCTCAGACACTCACCTGCTCTCTCACATCCCCATGCTCACGCTCTCACATTTGCACTCACACGTGTGAGCATGCACACATGCCTTCTCTCTCACCTGTGCTCACACTCAACACTCTCTTGCTCTCACACAGATGCAGCACTCACCCCTGCGAGTGCATGCACTCCTCAGACACTCTCACCTGCTCTCACACACATGCACACTTTCATGCTGTCACACAGATGCAGCACTCACCTGTGCGAGCGCACACACCCCTCAGACACTCTCACCTGCTCACACTCTCCTCACACAGATGCAGCACTCACCCATGCAAGCACGCACATGCCCCTCAGACACGCTCACCTGCTCTCATGCACACGCACACTCGCATGCTCTCGCACAGAGCTCCTGTGGAAGGAGAGAGTGAGGACTATGGCAGTGCAAAGATCAAGGAAGGAGAATGAGGAACGGCAGAAGTGATAGTAGTTTCTGAATAGTGAGCATATTTAGAAAACATACTTTATATGTCTTGGATTAAAAAAAGAATGGGCCATGTGCAGTGGCTCACACCTGTAATCCCAGCACTTTTGGAGGCCGAGGCGGGTGTATCACTTTGAGCTCAGCAGTTCAAGACCAACCTGAGTAACATGGCAAAACCTCATCTCTACAAAAAATACAAAAATTTAGCTGGGTGTGGTAATGCGCACCTGTAATCCCATCTACTTGGGAGACTGAGGTGGGAGGGTCACTTGAGCCCAGGAGTTCGAGGCTGCAGTGAGCCAAGATTGCACCACTGCACATCAACTTGGGAGACAAAATGAGACACTGTCTCAAACAAAAAAACAAAAAAAACAAAAAAACACTGATTAGTAAAATATTATGTAGTAATTTTGTATAATATGCTAGGTGTGCATGTTCTCACTCATAGGTAGGAACTGAACAGTGAGAACACTTGGACACAGGAAGGAGAACATCACACACTGGGGCCTGTCGTGGAGTGGGAGGATGGGGGAGGGAAAGCATTAGGAGATATACTTAATGTAAATGACGAGTTAATGGGTTCAGCACACCAACATGGCACATGTATACATATGTAACCTGCACATTGTGCACATGTACCCTAGAACTTAAAGTATAATAATAATTTAAAAAAATAAATGCTAGATGTGTATAAGTTAAATAGATTCATTTTTAATCATAGCAGAGATTAAAGATTCTTGAGTCTTACTAACCTTTTTTGTTTTTCTTTTTGCAGACAGGGTCTCACCCTGTCACCCAGGCTGGAGTGAGGTGGCATGATCTTGGCTCACTGTAACCTCTGCCTCCTGGGTTTAAGCAATTCTGATGCCGCAGCCTACCCAGTAGCTGGGATTACACGTGTGAGCCACTGTACCTGGCCTCATCTAATTTTTTTATTGAAGTATTTCAGTTTTCTTGGTAAAATAGTATTGTCCTCAAGTTGCTATTGTGGTCAGAAAGTGACAAAGTTGTGGCTTAAAGTGATTTTTTAAGAGAATGTGATTATTCAGATTCAGATAATTATTAACTAATAAGGGCATTATTTTAAAACTTTAAAAACTCTTAGTATGTTAAGATGAGAAAGTGGGACTTGCCACTTAACGTTGCTAATAATAATATTAATATTAACATTAATAGCTTAATATTTAGATAAAGTTTCTTCCAAGGATAGCAACTTTTATTCTGACTAAAAGTTACAATTTTTCCTTTGATCATAGAGTGAAATGGCAATCCTGGTATATAGAGTTCTACTTTATTACTTAGTGTATTAATATTATTTACCCAGGAGAACTAAGGAACCATGAATCAGTTCACTTTTTCTGCATAACAATGCTAAAACTTAGCGGTTTAACCCCATAACCGTTTGTTACTGCTCAGGAATCTACAAGTCAGCTGGATGGTTCTCCTGAGCTGCGCTGCATGTGTCTGCAGTCACTGGACCCTGCTGGGGACTGACTGGTCTAAGCTAGCCTCACTCATGAGTCTGGCAGTTCTCCAGGTTGGCTGGCTTTGGATGGGGCAACAGGGAAACTGGGTCTCTGTCAACATCTAGCAACCCATTCATTCATATAGTGGCTTGGGTGCTGGAAGAGCCAGCTGAAGTGTGCAGAAGCCCTTGAGGCAAGTTCTGGATTCCCTGGAGGATTTCCACCTGATTGTGTTGACCAGTGAGGTGGCAGAGGGCAGATTCCAAGCCTGGGGTGCACATCCCACCGCTTCACATTCAGAGCTGCAAGCTGCTTTTATCATCTGCCACAGACCAGAACACAGACAAGATGCGGGTCATCTAATCATCAGCTGTTTTCAGTCTTTCATCACTTATTATTGAAGTTTGATTTTTCTTGTTTTTAGGTTACATCATTTTCTGACGTAAAGAGAAGGCTTAAGAATTTAAGATTTTGAACAATGTTCTCTGGGAATAAAAAGCTTAATGTTAATTACTTTTTTTGTGTATAACAATTCCTCCACTCAAAATTTCTCTAGGAAATCTCAACTGTAATCTTTTTCTTTTTGTTTTTTGGTTTTTGTTTTTGTTTTTGTTTTTTTTGGTGACTTATTAGGATGTAGGTGGAGGATGGCTGGAAGGAAGAAACATCAAAGGAGAACGAGGGCTGGTTCCTACAGACTATGTTGAAGTAAGAGCTTCCTGTCATTCATTCATTAGAGCTCATTCTTTGTCAGCATCTTTTCATGAATTATCAACTTTCAGGAAGTCAGCAACTTTTTGTAAAATAAAATTTCCGTTGTAAATATAATAAATGTTAACTATGTAAAATATGGAAAGTACATTGAAATAGAACTAAGAAAAATATTACCTGTAGATCCAAGCTCCAAAGAATGACTATAAATATTTAGATTAAGTTTCTTCCAGGGATAGCAACTTTTAATTAGTCTGAATAGAAGTTAATGTTTTTCCTTTGCTAATATTGTCTATAATATAAATATGTATAAATATATTACAAATTGTATAAATTTAATAAGATGAAATTATGTATCAATATATCGCTATTACATAAATTTTAAATATGTATTTAATAATATATATTTTTAATATATATGATACATATAACATATTTTTCCTTTGCTGATATTGCTGCTGTCTATAATATTGTTTATTGTACAATTAATTCACAGTTAAATAGATTTTTTTAAGTGTGTATCTCAGTTCCTTCTCCCATTCCCATGGACAGAGAGAAGGGTATCTTGGGTGAGCTGCTGTGGGGATCTCCTGGGGAGAGCTGTTAGGTCGGGTACCCAGGAGAGCAACACAGCAGCCTGGGCTGGCCCTGCCTGGGACACCCCCAGCTGAGCCAACCGCCTGGCGCCCCCTGCTGGTTGTCTTTCGGTCGCTCCAAACTGAGCATGTGCAGCTTCTTGGTAAGCTTGTCTTTCATGTTGGGTGACAGAAAAAAGCGAAGGTTTCCTGATGTCCTGTGAGTACAACTGGAGCTAGATCAAGAGTAAAGGTACCTTTGGTTCACCTCCAGGAGAAAAGAATTCCCCCCAGAGGATGTTTACCTGGGACCTGGCTGCAGAGTGATATCGAAGGCCATCTTTCTGTTCTTGATAGACGGTGAGGGGTGGGGAGTCGTGACCCCTCAGAGAATCTGATGCAGTCTCTAGGCTTTCCCTCAGAAACATGTGCCCATGCACACACCACAGCCTTTTCCATACAACTGCAAACCCCTGTTCACAGACCCCTGGCCTCGATCCATAGATCTCATGTTGAAGTCTTGTTTTACTTGTATGCACTTTGCATCCAGGAGCCTACAAATTGACAAAATTGAGAAAAATCTGAGGATTTAAGTTGATACTGGCAGTAAGTGGATTTTCTAGGATTCTGCTTATAGAAAGGACTAGTGATTACAGATATTCTTGGGTTTGCTTACCTTTTAAGAATATAAAAACCCCTCTGTTAGAAATAGATCCTGCAGGCAGAAAATCAGTAAGGACATGGTTGAACTCAGCACCATCAATAAACTGATGTCCACTTGTGGATGTCTATAGACTGCTTCATCAGACCACAGCCACATACACATTCTTCTCAAGCTTACATGGAACATTCTCCAAGACAGACCACATATTCTGAGCCATAAAACATACCTCAACATGTTTGAAAGAAATCATGCAGTGTCTGCCCTGAGACGACGATGGAATCACACTAGAAATCAAAACAGAAAGATAGATGGAAGATCTCTAAAGATTGAACAACCCACTTCTAAATAATGCATGGATCAAAGAAGAAATCTTGAGAAATTAAAAAATAGTTTGAACTAAATGCAAATGAAAATACAACCCATCAAAATACAAGTATGCAGCGAAAGCAGTGCTCAGAGAGAAATTTGTAGCATTGAAGAATATAAACGGTTTTTGACAATTCTTGCTTGCCCTCACCAGACTCCCTGAAGTGACCCTAATGCATGAAAATAATTGTGACTCTTTCTACTATTCAGATTTTACCCAGTGATGGAAAAGATCAATTTTCTTGTGGGAATTCTGTGGCTGACCAAGCCTTCCTTGATTCTCTCTCAGCCAGCACAGCTCGGGCCAGTTCGTCGGCTGCCAGCAACAACCACCAGGTACGTCTCACTTCCTTTTTCTGGATGTGGCTGGCTTTACTGAAAGCAGAGCATATTTGTGAAAGCTTGTGATGCATTATAGCTATTGCCATCCCCCAAAAGCATAAACAAAGTCGCTTTTAGGTTGTTATGTGGCATTTCTGTTGGGTACTAACAAAGAACTCACCTGTTAAGCCTGATAATGACTGTTTGCAAAATTTATTAGAAAAGGCAGGGTGTTAATTGAGGGTTGCTGACAAGTCTGTCATGATATGAACACAGACCCCAGAAACTGCAAACCCTCCTAGATAAAGTCATGGAAAAAAGAGGAAGAAAAGGAGGGTCTTGTTGAGGAGGTCAGTGTCAGAGCATCGGCCTGGATCAGGAAATGGATTCCCTGGCCCTGGAATGCTGCTTACACTCTCAGAGCTAGAGGCCCTCATCCTGCAAGTAGAAGCAATGCATGTGAAAGTCTACCAGATCCAGGCACTCAGCACTTGGTACTCTTATTGTATTGCTTCCAGGAAACTTAGAATAGTGGAATAACTTGAGAAGAATACAAGGAAATTTTACATTAATTTTAATTAAAATTTGACTAGTTTAGGTTAATTCTTCTATTTCATTTATTGCCAAATGATGACACAGAGTAAATGACAAGAAGAAAATTAAGAAGATAGGTATCAAAATATTGTTGCCGCTGGGCACAGTAGCTGACGCCTGTAATCCCAGCACTTTGGGAGGCCAAGGCAGGTGGATTGCTTGAGTGCTGGGGTTCGAGACCAGGCTGGGCAACACAGTGAAATCCCATCTCCACACGTTAAAAAGAAAGTTAAAAAAAAAGAATTAAAATATTGTTACTGCTTACATCTTTAGAAATGAATGGGCTTTAGGACATGTTATGTCTTGATTTTTTTTTTAACTACATAAAAGGTTTTACATTATATCAGGCCTAATAATCATATCACTTACAATTATTTGCTTATAGAATATCTGTTTATTAGCCAGGCGCAGTGGCTCACGCCTGTAATCCCACCAGCACTTTGGGAGGCCGAGGCGGGCGGATCACCTGAGGTCAGGAGTTTGAGACCATCCTGGCCAACATGGTGAAACCCCATCTCTACTGAAAATACAAAAATTAGCTAGGTGTGGTGGCAGGCACCCGTAATCCAAGCTGCTCGGAGAGCTGAAGCAGGACAATCACTTGAAGCTGGGAGGCGGCCACTGCAGTGAGCCGAGATCGTGCCACTGTACTCCAGCCTGGGCGACAGAGTGAGACTCCGTCTCAAAAGAGAAAGAATATCTGTCAATTGACCTTCCAAGTGAGTTTATCTAAGTTTATCACCATATACTAACTGCAGGTTTTACACATTTCAAAACAGCTTTTTGTAGACATTCTGAATTACAAATTAGACTCAGATATTTAAAATTTGCAGGCAAGGTGATCACGGTAATTGAAGAACACTTTTCTATATTTTATTATTCTGTACTACTTGAGAACATTGGCCAGGTAAGGGTTACTCACTGTGAAACGTGAATAGTAGTTATACCTCACTTCAAGTTTTCCCAGGGGTTCTCAGCCTGAGCCTCAGTGCTGTTTGAGGCCCCACACCCTTTCCTAGTGGGACCCGTCCTGGGCACTGCAGGATATTGAGCAGCCTTCCTAGCTTCTCCCTACCAGGTGCCAGTCACATGCCCACCGCCTCGGTTGTGACAACCAAAAATGTCTCCAGATACAGCCAAGTTACCTAGGAGCAAAGCCAAGCCGGTTGAGATTCACTGAGTTACACAAAAGCACCCATGAGATGGGTTTGCATTAATAAAGGACAGCGTTTTAAATGAGAGAATTGTAATGAGGTGATCATAGAATAAGTGAGGCAAACAAAAAATAGAAATATTTACCTTATTTTAATTCGAGGGACTGACCAGCTATTATCTCAAGATAGGTGGAAGCAGTTTAGCTAATGAAAATAAATTAAAACTCAGATTTAAGTAATGTTCTGTTAGGAAATATATTCCTTGATTTACTTGTAGTTTAATATAAACTGGTATAAGTCTAAAATTTGTTTCATCTAGGTTATTTAGCAGGTAATAAAACCAAAAAAAAAAAAAAAAAAGGCGGGGGGTGGGGAATCCAGTCTAACATTGAATCTAATCAGATCCTTTGAAAGCAAAGAAAAATTAACTGAAACTAGAATTAGTGAAATGCAGAAAGCATAGCTATCATTAGAGCATTTGAATTTAATTTAAATCAAGTAAAAATATTTTAACAGCCATCTCTGCCCTCTGTTATCTGAGATATGAGAACAATTTAAGTAGGCCAAAATTTGGGTACATTTTATAAATATCATGAAAGATGTCACAAGTAGGAAACCAAATGACCATTATTAATGGGTAGCTTTTTAAACATTTTCCTATCAGGTTTGCCCATTGCTTTCATTTTCTGAACACGGGTAGGAAAATGCGTGCTCTGAGGTGTGCTGCTTGGGAGGCTCCGATTGCCTGTTCCGGCACATGCATTCTCCCAGGGTCGGTTTTGTTTCAACAGCCGGACCTCGGAGAAGCTGGGCCTCTCTCCCGCCAATCAGGCCTGCGGGCACATCCCCTCTGAGACTTGCATCTCTTCAGCTTGGCACACTCTGCCAACTTCTGAGCCAGTGTCTCTTTACTCGTCTTAACATCAGTTCGTTTAAATTTGACTCTCCTCCCACACAAGCAAGTTGAAGCCTCATATTCAGTTGGTTATCCAATTTCCTGAGTGTTGTATTTTTCTTTTAAGTCATATCTTTTTAAAGATCTCTTTGAATAACTTATTTCGGGCCTGCTACTCTTTCCTTGACTTTGTATTCTTCACCTGTGCTGCATTTCAGAGTAACTAGTTCATGAATGTGTAAAAACCAAAAGATAGCACTTTCTTTTGGTTTTTCTTGAAAATCCTAGTTTCAGGTTGCTTGGGGACCCTTTGATCCTAGATTCTTACTGAGTAGTCTCAGGTAAGCAGAGTGCTGGTGTCAGGGCAGTGTTGATGCATCCAGGACGCTGACCCGCTGTGATTGTTTTCCTCCTTTAATGGTGAGACAGCGCTTTATCAGCTCAAACGTAGTCCAGCTAAGTTTAGATTAGAATTGTCACTGTGAAAGGAATATGATAAGTTGTTCTTTAAATGGACTGAAACAGTTCAATTTGGAAAATTATAAAGCTATTTATTAAAGTACTTGGAGAAAATAATAGACAGCATATTTTTATGGCCTTGGAATATGGAAACCCTTTTCTTATTTTTATTTATTTTTTTTTTTTGAGACAGAGTCTTGCTGGGTCGCCCAGGTGCTGGAGTGCAGTGGTGCGATCTCAGCTTGCTGCAACCTCCGCCTCCTCCTGGGTTCAAGTGATTCTCCTGCCTCAGCTTCCCAAGTAGCTGGGACTACAGGTGCTTGCCACCACACCCGGATAATTTTTGTATTTTTAGTAGAGACAGGGTTTCACCATATTGACCAGGCTGGTCACGAACTCCTGACCTTGTGATCCGCCTGCTTCAGCCTCCCAATTGCATCCGGCCTATGGAAGCCCTTTCTGAGGCTGACAGCACAAAGTCTAGTAGCCATTAAGGAGATAATTGATACATTTAAGTAAACAAGTAATATTAAATTAGGAAAAATACTTCTGACTTGTGACAGATACAGGCTAATTCCATTCATATACGTATATTCTTGCTAATCTGTAAGAAAAAGATGAATTCAGAAGAAATAGGTAAAGGGTATAGACAGGCCGTTCATTGGGAGGACAAAGGTACTAATAGTTAATAAACTTGGGGAAATGTTCATTTTGAGATTCTTCTATCAAACTAGCAGAGAATGAAAACATTTTAAAACCTAGTGTCATAAAGGTGTGGTCAGATAGGCAGTGTCATACAAAGCGAGGGAAAGGATAGAGTGATGAAGCTCTTCGGGGCCGGTTTGGTGATGTATATGAGTATTTACAATGCATGCCTCTAAGGCCCAGCGGTTCTGAGTTCCTCCTGCAGATCTGCTCGCAGAACACAGGTTTCTGGGCAAGAACGTTTCCTACGGCGTTGTTTGTAACAGCAGAAAACCGGAATGTAAATGTCTGTCAGCAGCGGACTGGTCAGATGAACTATAGGCAGCCACGCAGTGGAAAGTCGAGCTTCTCTTAGGGAGAGTGAGGGTAGATTTAGATGTACAGATAGAGATATATGATTTTTTTAAAAAAGGCACCTCAGTATGGGTAATGTTATCTTTCTTGTGTGTAAATGCACACACACACACACGCCCCGTAGATGCAAAGTGTGTAGAAAATTTATTGAAGGATACCCAAGAACTGAATCAAACTCTTGTCATGTTCTTATTCAAATACAGATTTTATATTACTCAGATGAGGACAACCATTTTATTACCTTTGAAAAGAAAGCGTAGTTTTTAGTGGTTAATAGTAGTTTCATTATTAGTTACTTATCGGTTATTTTCCAGTTTCAAGAGTATTTCACATTAGTGGCTGAACCGCTAGAATGAATGGCCCAGCTGATGGGAATGAATCTCAGTTGTTAAAAATCTCTACTCGTGTGTGTGCTAGTCTTGTTTTTCATCCAGTTATTGTTGTTTAGATTACATCATTGCCATGATTCTGAAAAGGTCTCAGTATGGATCTTAAACTCTCAGATTACTGCTTTAGAGTACTTACTTTTGAGAAATTAATAGAAAATTTGTTTTCTACTTTTCTAGAAAATGAGAACAATGAGTTTTAAATGTTACTTAAAAGTTCTGTAAACCCAGATGTCTTATCTGAAGGTTTTCTACTTGAGAGGTTTGCTTTCTGTCTTCTTCAAACACTAGAAAGATGTGTATACTTGGAATAAAGCTGCTTTTCTTTTGGTGAGAGCCCTTCTGGCCCCTGTCACATACTGTCCCTGGCATCTCTCTGTTTTTCTGTTTCACAGTTTCACACCCCGCCAGACCCCAGGTGAGTGGTGTGGTGGGAAGCATGTAAGGTTTGCTGTTAGATCCAGGCTTGCCAGTCCGGCTCCACTGTGTAAGAATTGTGGCTTTGGCATAAGACCTGCCTCCTGAATTGTCAGTGAATTAGGTCACCAGTGTAAAGTAGTGCCGGACACATGGAAGACATTTCATAAATATTTTCCTTCTTTTCCCACTTCTTCCCTCTTTTAAAAGGGTGTCTTCAATCCACTTACCCTTTTGTGTTCCAACCTCTCTCACTGTTCTACCCTTTCTAATCGTGTAGATTCCCTTATGAAGTGTCTCTCTACTCTTGAATTTTCTCTTTGATTTGCCCAATTTCTAGCGTTTTGTTGAACAGTTCTATCAGCATGTCTCCTCTGTATCTGAAATTCATCTTCAACAGAATCACTTGTTTCCCCACAAAACTAGTTTCTCTTCCGGACTTTCCTGTTTCTGTTTCTCTGAAATGTTACTTCTTTCTGTACCCTCTTTTTATTCTGTTTTGAAACCCTAACCGAGTGCCATCGTGAGCCACAGTTATTGAGAGGCGTGCTCTGCATCCTTGAGATGTGGAGAGAGAAGGAACTGATTGAGATCCATTGTTCTAACAGATTTCCTGTCTTTTCTCTCCTCCTAAGAGGCAGCCTAGCTTGGTGTCAAGGCAGTGAGCTCAGGAGCCAGACTGTCTGGGTTTTAATCCCAGATCTCACACATCCTGTGTGAATCAGGGTAAGCTGCTTAGCGTCTCTGTGCCTCATCTGTAAAACCTCATAGGATTGTTGGAAAGAGTAAATGAAAAGAGTTCTAAAGTATTTAGAAGAGTACACAGTACTTAGTAGTGGTTTCATAATTGTTAATTATAGTTAATCTCATATACCACTGCTTCTGAAACAAGACATTAAGGACAGGCGCACTTCATTTTATTGCCCTTTACTTTATTGCACTTGACAGGTAATGCGTTTTTTACAGATCAAAAGTTTTTGGCACCCCCTACCTTGAGCAAGTCTGTGGGCGCCATTTTGTCAATAGCACGTACTCACTTGGTGTCTCTGGTTCACATTCTGTTAATCCTTGCAATGTTTCATACTTGTTCATTGTTATTGTATCTGTTTTGGTGACCCGTGATGAGTGGTCTTTGATGTTACTATTGTGATTGTTTTGAGGCACCACAATGGCAAGCTTAATTGACATGTTTTATGTGTTCCAACTGTTCCACCCACCAGCCATTCCCTCATCTTTCTCCCTGTCCTTGGGCCTCCCTCTTCTCTGAGACACAACAGTAGTTCAGTTAACCAATTAATAACCCTGCAGTGGCCTCTGAGTGTTTCAATGAAAGGAAGAGTCGCATTTCTCTCACTTTAAATCAAGAGCTAGAAATCATTGAACTTAGTGAAGAAGGCTTGTCAAAAGCTGAAACAGGCCAAAAGCCAGGTCCTCTTGAGCCAAATACTTAGCCAAGTTCTGAATGCAACGGAAAAGTTCTTGAAGAAACTTCAAAGTAGTAGTCCAGTGAACACTTGAATGATAAGAAACTGAAACAGCCTTATTGTCGATAAGGAGAAGGTTTGAGTGGTCTGGATAGAAGACCAAACCAGGCACAACATTCCCTTAAGCCAAAGCCTAATGCAGAGCAAGGTCCTGACTCTCTTCAATTCTGTGAAGGCTGAGAGAGGTGAGGAAGCTGCAGAAGAAAAGAGAGCTTGGTTCATGAGGCTTAAGGAAAGAAG